CCCCCCCCCCCCCCGCATTCAAGTTCCTCTCTGGAACCTTCTCTGAGCTCATACTATAGACTTCTCTACGGTCTCATAGCAAGTCGTGTGACCTTCCAGGACAACACGAACCTTCCACTTCACCTTCCTGATGTTTGTGACACCGCCCAGTTCTCTCCAGTGCCGCACTGCATGCTTCTTTGGAGGTGGACCTTGTCCATCCCCGCAGGCCCCATCTGGCACGATGCTCAACACAGGGTGCCGTCCCTAAGTAGTCGCTGACGTGAGATCTCACTGGTGATCCTCTCCTATCCCTGGTTGACCAGCAAAGCCCAGCAAAGCCAGGACTGTGGGGAGAAGAGTGGGAATCCACCAGGGGTTAATTCTCCGTCAATCACTGTTTAATCAGCATATACTTAGACAGAACTGCTGAAACTGACAGGAAACTTCAAGGAAAAAGTACAGAGGGCAAGTAAAAGACAAAAATACAAAGCAGGCAGAATTTTATCAAAGTTTTTTTTCTTCCTGATACCATCTGTCTCCTCCTGTCTGGTTTCCTGTTTCCTTCTACTTCTTTGCTCTGTTGCTGTGCCCTGCCTGTGTATCTAGTGCCGTTCTTACCACTGTATGGCTGTAGGTAATCAGGAAATGAAGTTGAAGTCTGGGTTACGGTAGGACTTCAAGGATGTCCGCTTCCCAGAGATGGATCACAAGGGCTGCCCTTAGGTTCTTAGAGAACGCATTTTAAACCTTACATTTATTTAGTGTTCGTGCATCCGCACAGTCAGAAGACGGCACAGACGATTGCTTCTCTCCACTGTGTGGGTCCTGGGGATCCGACTCAGGACCTCAGGCTTGGTAACCAGTTCCTTTACCCACTGAGACGCCTTGCTGGCCCCTAAGCTTTTAGAAAAAGAAATGGGGGGGGGCAGGGAGGATTTTGGAATATGGTAATTATCAAGGACTTGAGAATAAGGGGATCCAGATATCCCTACATTTGGACCCAGAAAACAAAATGTGACCCTGTGCCACCCCCACCCACCCCGATGCTACCCCTGTACGTGGAAAACAGGAGATCACAAAGAGATGCTGACTAGAAGATTAATTCTTTTCTCCTCTCATAAAAGTTTCAGTGTTGCTGGGCAGTGGTGGCACACGCCTTTAATCCCAGCACTCGGGAGGCAGAGGCTAGCGATCTCTGAGAGTTCAAGGCCAGCCTGGTCTACAAGAGAGCTAGTTCCAGGTCAGGCTCCAAAGCTACAGAGAAACCCTGTCTCAAACAAACAAACAAACAAACAAACAAAAAAATGAAAAAAAGAGAGAGTTTTGGTGTTGCAATGCGGAAGTGGGAAGTAGAGTATGCTCTTTGAGAAACTACTGGAAAGGAGGCAGGAAGAAAGGAAAGGAAAGGGAAAGAGGAGGCAGTTTTGTCTCTGGCTCAGTTACGTTGTCTAGATCTGTCAACCTGGCAACCCAGACCACCTGGGGGGAGGGTTTCCAGTGAGGGACTGTCCGTACCAGGTTGGCCAGTGGGTAGGACTGTGGGAATTGTCTTAATTAAGCTAACTGGTTTGGGAAGACCCAGCCCTCTGTGGCAGCCCCACTCAGGAGGCCCTGACAGTGAAAGGGCCCGAGCACACACGTTGGTGAGCAGGTCTGTATTCACTTCTCTGCTCTCGACTGTGGATGTGCTGTGTCCAGCTGCTTCACACCCCTGCCACGCTCGCTTCCCCACAGTGATGGCCGGTAGCTTGGAGCTGTAAGATAAAATTAGCCTTTCCCTGCTGAGTTGCTCCTGAGTCAGGGTTTCTATTGCATGACCAAAAGCAACTTGGAGAGGAAAGGAATTATTTAATACACAACTCTCAGGTCATACTCTGTCACTGAGGGAAGTCAGGGCAGGAGCCCAATGCAAGAACCTGCAGGCAGGAACCTGAAGACAGGAACTGAAACAGACGCCACGGAGGAGGCTGTCTTGTTCCTCGTGGATTGCTCAGCCTGCTTTCTTATTCCACTCAGGACCACCTGCTCAGGGACAGCCCTAACCCTCTCTATCCTCTCTCCCATGGTCCTGGCCCTCCCACACCAATCATTAATCAAGAAAATGCCCCACAGGCTTGCCTACAGACCATCTGATGTGAGAATTTTTTCTCCTGAGGTTCCTCTTCCCAGAGAACTGTGTCAAGTTGACTAAACAACCTCACCACCAGGATAGTTCATTACAGCAACAGAAATGAAGTAGGGCACTGAGCTGGAGGAGGACCTGTAGCCTCAGTCCCTCTGCAGCCTGCTGGTCTTGCTGTGTCCTAGCTCTGCAGGCTCGGTGAGTCATTGAGACCCTTTCTGTTTGGGGCAGGTCAGTTTGGAAAACAAAACATTCCCTGCTGTGAGTCATTCTGCAGACAGGAGGGTAACCTGTCACAGAGTTCCCTCCATTGTCAAAATGTCTTCTAGAATCTTTAGGGAAACAGTACGAGAAGCCTAAACTAGTATAATGAATAATATTGCTTTCTTCTACATTAGATGAAAGTTCTGAAAATAAACCAAAAAGCAAGAAGGCACAGACTGTAGGCATTATGGTGACTGCAAAGCAACAGATCTTGATAGGGGAGAGCTGAAGGGGACAGTCTAAGTGGTCCTTGTGGGGCTCTGCGTGAAAAACCTAAGCGCCTACCTGTGTGAGTAGGGCAAAGCCTGTAGACTCGGGTTATATTTGCATGCAGGGACTGGCGAAGCCTGAGCCAACAGGAGCTACACTGGAGCTTACTTCCTTATTTTCTTCCCTGTCTAGTTATGAAGACAATGATGATGGAAGCTTTAATCTCACAGCAACTGCAAGAGCAGTTTCCCCGGCTAAGTGCCTCGCATTCCCCAGAGCAAAGAAGGGATGAAGGGGAAAGAAAAGCACTCAGGGATGACAGATATGAAGGGGAAGGGGATCTACTTTATGGGCAAAACCGTTCCAAGCCAAACCCGGTGACAATGTGGCACTTCCCCGTCGGTGTTAGTAGTCAGTGAGGGCATGGAGGTATTTGAAGGACTCTTGAAGAGATGGCAGCGCTCTTGGGGTTTAACTCCTGCTTGTGAATGCAGCGAATGGAACATGTTGGCTGCCCCAGCTCTGGTATCTGTGCTCGCATCTTTGTGTGACATTACAGTCGCACCCCATGTGTCAAGTGCTAGATTGTATTATTGATCATCAGGCCTGCGGGGATACAAAAAGAGCTCGTGATCAGGGAAAAACTGGATAAGAACTATCCAGTTCTTAAAAGGGATGTCATGGTTCTGGCACAGAAATACTGAACCATTTTTTTTTTAAAAAAAAGGAGAACCAAAAAGAGATTGTATTTCTTAAAAATCTGATCAGTATCTTACCTAAAGAAATAGGTAAAATCATCAAAGGGGCATTCCAAAAGAAAACTCCAGAAAGACTGGTGAGGACTTGGCTAGTAAGAAAGACAGAGGACCCACTGAAGGGATCACAGCACAGTGCTTATGAGCCAACTCAGCCCACATAGTTATCCACATGTGTATGGCTGTCTATGCAAGACCTTTTCTTAAATACTTTGGCTATCATCTCCAGATACTGAACGTCTTTAGAGACTCGAAGGACAAGATGCAGCATGCCCTCCCAAATCAATGAGAGCCTATATATCATAAACAGTAGTTTTGGCAACAGGTAATGGAAAATAGATTCAAACTGGCTCACACAGGGGTTGGCAAACAGCAGCCTGTAGGTCGGCCACCTTTTCTGCCGGAACATACCAACTTGTTCCCTTCTGGCAAAAGAAAGAGTGGTTTTCCCCCTAGGTACGGAATAGAAATTTTCAATCAGATTGCGCCAATTTAGGACACGTGTGTATCCCTGGAGCAGGACGGTTGCCAGAGAAGTGTTGAGTACATTTTGACCACATGGAAGCCTGTGTAGAGGTGGGTGCCTTGTGAACAGCAAGCAATGAAAAGTGCAGAGTGGATGGTAAGTATGTGGGTAACGGCTTCTAGCTGCCAGCACCATCTCCCCTAGTCTCCACCTCCCAATCTTTGCTTCTCTCTCTACCTCTGGCTTTTCTCTTCTCTACCTGGTTTTACCTTTCCCAAAACCCAGTGGGAAATGTAACCGCAAGTCTCTCCGGGGGTATCAGGCTTCTGGCTCAAACCAATGTCTCATATTCTCAGTCTGATTTTCAAGTTTTAAAGATAACTTTTGCTTATCCTAATCAAGGTTAGAATCATCCCTCAGTCAGAAGTGGAGCCATGTTCTAAGGAATTCTCATTATACCCACAAGAGCAGATCGATTCTTCAAGAGAGAGAGAGAGATGGGCTGGTAAGCCCACAGGTATTGACTAAACAAATTTATTATGTCAGACATAGGTCAACATTTCCATTCTAAGTAACTGATTGCATTAGGATTATTTTTTGTTTGGGGAAATACAGACCTTTAGACAAGATGTTGTGCCTTTCCTATGAAACTCTAAAGGTAGGAATATGGTTTGGCGTCCCTGCCCCTAAATACAGTATTAATTAACCTTGTCTCCATGACCCAAGATAGCAGCGAGGACATTTGCAGTTGTAGCAGCAGCAGAAGGGAGGTGCTAAGAAGGGGCAAGAGGTACACACCAATTGTCATTAAGGAAAATTCCAGAAGATGACATATCCAAGTTGAGCAACCCTAATTCCCAAACTGGAAATAGTTTGAACACCGAAATGACACCATGGTTGGAAAATCCCACATCATGAAACATCATTTCACGCTCCAGATTATTATAAATACTTTATAAAATTGCCTTAAGGCTAGCAGTATCCAAAAAATAATTGCGCGTTTGAACTTGTGCCCCATTCACAAAACATATCACAGTTACACGTGTGCAAGGGGGCTGGGGATGTAGCTCCACCAGTAGGCGTCTGGTCTAGCAACATCTTGGGTTCAGTCCCTAGCACCTGTAATCCAGGAATCGGAGAGGGAGGACCAGAAGTTCAAGGTCATCCCCAGCTATTTCGTGAGTTCAAGAAAAGTGGAAAAAACAAACAAACAGAAAAGCAAATATTTAAATAACCTGAGGTCCTGAGGTCTTCTGGTCCCAAGTTTCGGGTGAGAGAAACTCCACGTCTTGTCCTCTCAATCCCTTCCAAGCGAAACAGTCTCTTTCCTTTTCATGGACACCAATTTGCCCAGCTTAAAAAAAAAAAATCCTAGTTTCTATCACCACAGAGTAAGAAGATGCACACTAACGGACCAATAGCCGCTCTGTGCGCTGTGCGTTCATTTGCAAACTGTGCAAGACTAAAACCATTTCTTTTAAGAAAAATGTTTCATTTATTTATTTTTGTTTGGTTTTTACATCCCAGTCAAAGTTCCCCTTCCTCCCCTCTTCCCAGTTCCTCCCCACCACTCCCCACCATTCCTCCTCCACTGTTTCTCATCAGATGCAGGCGGGCCTCCCATGGATATCAGTTAGCCATGGGCTATCAAGTTCCCATGAGACTAGAATCCTCCTATTCTATTAAGACTGAATGAGGCAATCCTGTAGAAGGAAAGGGTTCTCAAAACAGGCAACACAGTCAGGGACAGCTCCTGCTCTCACTGTTAGGAGTCTCTCATGAAGACAAACTTATACAACTGTAACATATATGTGGAGGGCCTAGGTCAGTCCCTCTTTAAGAGAGACATACATAGATCTCATCTACATGAGAAGTAGAAAAAGACAAGATCTTCTGAGTAAATTGGGAGCATGGGGACCTTGGGAGAGGGTTGAAGGGGAGGGGAGGGGAGGGGAGGGGAGGAGTGGGGAGGCAAGGGGCAGGGAAGGGAGCAGAGGAAAATGTAGAACTCAATAAAAATCAATTTAAAAAATTATGGTGTGAGTTTTTTGGTCTTTTTTTCTTTTCTTTATGTGTATCATTGTTCTGTTCAAATGCACGTCTATGCACCACTTGCATGGCTGGTGCCCTCGGAGACCAGAAGGTGTTTGATCTCCTAGAACTGGAGTTATGGACACTTGTGAGCCTCCATGTGACTGCTGGGAATTGAACACGGGTCCCCTGGGAGAATAGTGCTTTTATGCTGAGTATAAAATCATAAAAACTTTGAATCTCTCCAGATTCAAAACATTTCATTTTTATTTAGTTTATTTTATATTAACAAATAATTGTTCCTATTTCTAAAGTACAATAAAGCATTCTGGTCTAGTTCCATATGGTAGAAAGAACCCATCAAGATAATTAATTTATTGTTATGGTTGGATGCGGGATGTCTCCTGGAGGTTCATATGTTCAAGGCTTAGCCCTCAGTGCAGCAGAGGAAGACACCGGATTCTGAGGGCTCTGGCAGCAGCAGATTAGTCCACTAATGGAGTCCAGATTTGACAGACTGTTGAAAAGTGACGGAAACTCAGCAGCTGGATCCAGCTGGAGGAAGGGAGTCCTCTGGGGCATGGCCTCAGAGGCTGTATCTTACCCGAGCCCCTTCTTTGGTCTGGCAGCATGCTACACCACATGCTCCCTGCCGTGATGTCCTACCTCGTCGTAGGAAGCAAAGCCAAGAGACCACGGGTGGAAACCTAAAGCCAGGAGACAAAATGCATCTCTCCATCTTTAAGTTAGTTTTCCTGGGTATTTTTCCAGTGATAAACAGTGAGCCTGGTTATCTCTTACCTACCAACTCCTTTTTTCCCTGTGTGACGAGGCTCTTTAAAAATCTCTTATCAACTTTGAAGTAAACAGTCCAGCGCAGTTCTCTCTAACTCAGAAAGAAAAAGGGCAGTCGTTATTAAGAAATGTAAAGGGGAGTTTAGCAAAACCACTCAGATTTATGACCTTAGGTAGTAGTTGCTTTTTTGTTGCTGTGATTGAACCCCGTGACCAAGGCAGCCAAGGAAGAGAGCTTACTTTGGCTTATAGTTCCAGAGCGATAAGAATCCATGAACACACAGCAGAGGCAGGTGGCTCTGGCAGGAAGCCACGAGCACACATTTTGAATCAAAAGAACAAACCAGAGAGAGTGAACTGCAAATAGGGTGGGGCCTTAAACGCTCAAAGCCCACCCCCCCCCCAGCAAGACCACACCTCCTAAACCTCCCCAAATAGTTACTAACTGGGAACAAAGTGTTCAAATAGATGAACCTTTGACATTTCCATTCAAACCGCCACACCCTGTAACTGAAATTTAAATACACAGTTACTGTTTTGTTTATGTCATGTGAGATATCCCTTATAAAAGCAATGCTGATGTGCTAATGAGGAATGAGTCTCCTATGTCAAGTTGATGCCACTTAAGGAAAAATTCTGCGTTATTCTGTAGGTGTCACGCTATAAAGGGAGACGGATAAACATTTCTTAAATTCTGACTCAGACCTAGAAGCATCAAATGCAGGAAACCACCTTCTACTGGCTCCACTATCACAATGGTCCAGACTGACCAGGGTTATGTGCTACGGAAATAGTGTCCTAGCACCATTTGCTACAGCTCGTGACGATTCCATCCAAGACTTCTCAACTGATCACTCATGCCGGCTCTTTCACAGTGCGCGTCTTATGGAAAGGTGATGTACACAATCTCCTGCCCCAAGGGATGCATCAGTGTTAGTTAGCTTATTGGATTTAGAAAACCAAACGAAGATCAGGTTTCATGCCTGTGAAGGAATAGAGGAGGGAAGGCGCTTTTTTTTTTTTTTTTTTTTTTTTGTGACTGAAAAGTTCCAGCAAAATTAAACTTCACTGCGGAGGTTATGCCAGCCTTGTGAGCCAACACCCTTCCTGCAGTCAGGGAGCATGAGAGCAATTACGTCAAGTATTATCTGGCAACAAGAATAGAACATTATTCTGAGCAATAAAGTGTTATTCAAATTTGACCGAAGTACACAGATGCAGTAACATGGTAATTATTCTAAGAAAGAGTGTCTAATTTAGAAATTACCTAACCTTTTGGTTTCTATTTTTGATGACATTTGTAATCTAAATGAGCAACCAACCTGCTTCTCCCAGGCTTTTACATCAAACTCAAAAATCTGATTTGCAGTTTTATTTTGAGCTCAACCTCCCATTTATTAGCATTCAGTCAATATCTTAAAGGCAGAGACATTTTAGGCCAGGATGATTCGCAGACAAAGAACAGAGAAGTAAAGAAATCAGTTACATTGTTTCTAGCAAGGCAAAGCCGCAGCCATGTTACCAGGAACTGTTCCTTTTCTCTGTCATGATGTCCCGTGAGAGGAAGTCACAGAATAATTAATGTTTGCTCAGTGTTAAGACTTTGACCTCTTCCCAGGAACTAACAAAACAATCCACAGTCAACTTCCAATCCCCAGAAAAATCACTCATTAATTCATTATTTTGGCAATAATTTTCCAAGCTCCTGTTTCTTCTGAGCTCTATGCTTAATTATGGGCACATAAGGAAAGATCAGGAAGGGCCTTCAGTCCCAAAGACTTTGCCTTTCAGTGACACTGGTATCATTCTTGTTATAGGAGCAATCTGCAAGCATTTAGTAAATGATTGAAAGAAGTATGTATAAATGACCAGAACAGATGGGTAGAATTATAGGTAATTCTCTTAAGTACTTAAACATCCCATAATGCTACTCTATTCCTATAGTAATGCTTTTAAGTTAAAAAAAAAAAAACTGTTTAAAATACTAGTCGGATATTTCGAGTGACAAATTATTTCTTCAACTAGAGTTACTTTAGGGGGGAGGCTTTATCATAAGCAATAAACACAGGATCAGGGTAGCTCATGCTGTATACCCAGAGCCTAGGAGGTGGAAGCAGAAGGATTCTGAGTTTGAGGCCACATCCTGGGCTACATAGAATTCCTATGCCAGTCTACCTTATAAGATTCTGTCTCAAAAGGAAAAAAGGCCTTCTAAGAAATACATATCAATTATATTGCATACAATACATATCGATCACACTACAGACAGATTCTATTTTCATGTGCATCACACAGTTGTTACAGAAAAGTCACAGGAGGCCCCAGAAGGGGCAAAGGGGGCATTGTGAGAACACCGGGCACTGACTGCTACAGAACGGAGAGCAGTGGGGTGAATTAGTGCCTTTAACCTCTGTGCCAGTCACATCGGCATTTTTACACACTCATGAGTATGTGATGGCCAACCTCACCAGAACAGTTTCAGAGAGGCTAATCCTTAGCATGTGTAGCCTTCCTCACAGTGCTGAGAACACTTCATGAAGTGTCCCCAAAGGGAAGTGTTGATCTAAACATGTAACATTTGTAGCCATCAGCACACCTGAGCTCACGGTGGTCAATGGTTTCACCCAGAGTCCCACCAAGCAAAACAGGTCATGTGACTTCAACAGCTGTCTAAACAGTATGATTGCCCTCCCACCACTGAGCTCTTCCCTGGACGCTGGCATAGAGCCAATACTGAGGCACTTGATCATGAAACGTCACCCACTCTAACTAAGCCCCTTCAGTCCCTCCAGAGCAGAAATGCCCTGGTGATTCGAGGATTTCAAAGGAGGTTACCGAAAGGGGAGGAGGGTGGGGAAAAAGTGGTGCTCTTAGGGTCCTTCCACAGCAACCCGCGAGCTGAATGATTTCTTGTAAATGCCTTTTATCTGTGAATATCTAAACTCATATGCTCATTTCTGTGACCAGGAAGCAAGAGATATACATCCCTTTTGAAGTTACTGAGTCAACACCGATATGACTTGTACAGACTTTCTTTATGCCTGTCATTCCTGACTCGGAGGTTTTGAACTCCACTCAAATGTATTTAGAGGTTCCATGCCATGTGGCAAGCACTAATCTTAGTGTTTGGGTTACATACAAGCAAAGATCCCTGTACTAACAGAGGTAATATATATATATATATATATATATATATATATATATATATATATATATGGGAGATAGAAAATAAATTATAAACATAGTAAGTAAGTCATTTCAACATATGCATAGAACAAAGGATGGGAAATGAGATATGAGGCCAGGGTGAAGCACCGGGAGTGCTTAGCACAGATGTTTTTTTTTTTTTTTTTTTTTTTTTTTTTTTTTTTTTTTTTTTTTTTGGAAGACTGTGGCTGGGGGAGAACAAGTGAATGGGGGACTAGCAGGAGTGGAGACCAAAGAGACAGCAGAGCCAGGCATCTGGGATAGGTCACCCTTTGCAAACACCCGTTTTTACCCCGAATGAAATGGGGCAGCACTGTGAGGGCTTGCACTTATGTTTGACATGTTTTTGAAACATCACATTGCCTCGTTTCTTGAGATGGGACGGCAGAGTGGTCAGCTAGGAACAGGCAGCCTTGATGGGAAGCTACTGCCATCATCCAAGAGAGAGGTACTGCATCTCGAGAGAAAGCAGAAGTGCTTAAAATTAGTTGGAGATGGGCTATCGAAAGATTTGGGGAAAGGAAGATGCATACAGGAGGACTCCAAGGTTTTGGGAGAAGTAACTACTGGCTGATATAGGCCGTGAGTGGAACAATCTTCAAGAGAAAAGATGAAATCCAGGTCTGGACTTAAGTTTGGGATGTCCATTCTGCAACGGTAAAGGTCTGAGGTGGAGGAAACAGTCAAAGATGGAAACGTGTGTTTAATGGATTCTGTATGATAGTCAAGGCCGTAGACCATGGAGGTCACCAATAGGGTGGGGAAGCCCAGAAGATGGAACCCCAGGACCCTTCACCATTGTGAAGCAGGGAGAAGAGGTAGACTA